CAATGGCAGGGTAGACGTCTCTCTTGGGACAATTTTCTTCTGTCATACAGGACTTGCATTTTGTGTTAAGAGATTTGACTTTGATTTTAATCTGCTGCTTCCTTCTAATGGTCAGTCAGCTTTTGAAAGAGACGATTCACCAATTTTCAACAAAAAATTTCATTGGAAATTTCATTGTTGAAAGTCCCGCTCGCATTGTTGGAAATATATTTTCAATGAAAAATTTTATTGAAAATTTTTTTATGAAAGTTGAAAATGCATTACTTATCATTAAAAATGTATAAGCAATAGAAAATTTTATTAAAAATTATAATCAGAAAATTGTTAGAAATACATTCTCAATAAAATTTTGTTAGTAAAACTTAAATTATTAATGAAATTTCGTTAATAGTTATTATTGGGATTATGTCTATAACAACCACCTTACTTACGGAATTTTTTAAGTAAAAACTATCAATCAAATTAATAAAAATCATTTTGCATTTTTGATGGGCTGAGTGCTTTACTGTTTTGTTCTTTTTCAATAAACTAACTTTGTTACCATATAAAACACAAATTCATTTACATCACCCGAGCTTAACTGATCAGGGTATTTCTCGAAATAACTCATCCAATTGATTAAACATTCAGAAAAAAGCAATATTATATATAAATCTATGCTGAACATGTCGCTATTCAATTCAAACACTAAAACAGAAAAACCCTTGTATAGCTTATTGATTGCGGATGGTGTCAGCGAACTGGCTTGAAAAACTCTGAGCAACAAAGCAATCTTACGTGATATCATTTCCTCTACATGCATGCCTATTTGCTTGGTGATCTCACGAGCAATTCAGAACTCGGTCTTCTCATTCTTAACCAGATAGACTCCAAATTACAAGTAGAATAGTTGTTGCAAGCAATTTTAGTTTTCAGCTAGGAATTACTTTGTCCTGATACTGATATTCTGATCTGGGTCACTCCATCTTAAGTACCTTATTTTGTTTTCACGACTCAATTTCATAGCTGTTGCACTCTTCTCTTTTCTTTCTTTCTTTTTTCTTTTTTGGGATAACCAAAGCTACAATTACATATGCATGATATATTTCAGTCAATCTTGGATTATGGGATTTTAAAACGGTGATTATACCAGGCATATATGCATTAGAAATAATCTCTTGGAACTTTAAGCCATGTGGTCTCCATCTCCTCAACTTGACGTCAGGTTCTTTTGATCAATCCTGGAGCTGCCCTCAGATTCCAACAGGCAAAACTAAAATGGATAATACCAAATTGAATTTTCAAGTCTGTTGAAACAGTTCCATTTAGATTAGAGTCCATTCTTCCTACTTCATCGGTAAGAGATAGTAATCAGGTTCAGTTGGAATCATTTTGTATATAATACCTTAATCTAAATAACATTTACATTAATAAATTCATAAAATCTTAAGATGTGATAAATAAGTTCCTTATTAAATTACAAATAGTTGGGTTTATGGTAAAATATTTCTTTATACTAAGGGTTTATTAGAGAATAAATTAAGGCTAGTATAAATAGCTCATTTAACACTTAGCAGTTACTTTTCATTTTTATGGAAAAAAACTTAAAAAGCGATTGAAAATTGAGAAAAATTCCCTTCAATTGAAAGAATAAGGTAAGATTATATTTTAATTTTATGAAATAATTGAATTTTGCATAATTATTTATTTCATGTTATTTCAACTTTCTAAAAATATTGGCACCGTTTTAGTGACTTTTCAAGGGTATAGTGAGTACCAATGGAAAAGTCTTGGAAAAACAATTTTTAAATGATTTTTGTAGCACCTCATTTAATTGAGTAATTAGAGAGATATTAATTTTTTAAATTGATTGAAATATTATTTTTTATAGTTTTAATAACTCAACTTTAGATCATTGAAATCCCACATTTCATTGACCTTTGTCTCAATTCATAGATGTTTTTGAAGTATAATATCTGGTGGCATTTTAGTCTTAGTGGCTCGTTTAACAGATAAGTGAGATGAAAGAATCATATGATCAAAATATATTAACTGAAACTAAATCTTAGAAATTTTGAGTATTATAATGACAATTTTTAAAATTTTGACATTTTGAACATGTGCATTTTGTAATCTTTTTTATTAAAACAAATTTGTATGTTATATTTTGACATGAATAATTCAAATTGATTTTTATTTCATCATTGGAATTAACTTGGATCAGGCATTATAAGTGCTTAAACTAGACTAAATACTTTTTGAGAATTTAGAATTTCAAAAATTAAAAAATTTCATTTTAATTATTTCAAAATTATTTTTGAACAATATTTGACCAATTTTGCTATAAAATTTTATAAGTTTTAGCTATGTAATTTTTATTAAATTTTAACATAAATAAAATTATTTTCATAAAATTATTTTTCATGTTGTTAGACTTCTATAAAAATCCATTTGATTTGAGGAAAAATTTATGAATATGATATTTACTTCAAATTAGCATTAGATTTCCATCGAAAATTATAAGTGCTACTGATTTTATTTTTTAAGCTTTACTTTTCAATTTTTACGTAATTTTTTATATTTTCTTTTATAAATTAAAATTTTGTTTTTTATTATTGGAAAATGTTTCCAATTTTAAAAAAAAGTCTACACATCTTAAATGCATTAAAATAATGACAAGTTGTGTCTTATTGAGTTATATGTATACTAGTTTTTTATTCTTTTTATATATTTTCTTGAGATATTACGATGTTAGAAAAATCGTTGTTAAATAGTGTAGACTTAACGAATTAGATAAGTAATTTGATATCGTTTCAATATTTCCACACTTGAAAGATTAGTCTCAAATTGAATTTTGTGTTGATGAATTATGCATAATATTTTGTCTTTTGTTTATTAAATCAAGTTAAATATGCAAATATTATATTTATATATATAAATGATCTCTTTGCTCTGGTTTTCAAATGTGATTTGTCCATATATTATTTTCTTGTCTTGAACTCCCAATTATGTTCAGTATATATAATTAATCTATCTATAAGACTGAGTTATTACATCAAATGTCTTGAATTGAATATATGAAATTGGTTTTGTAATAAATGAATAAATGATGTTTTTGTATGTTATGATAATCTGAAAATATATTTTGTTGTGTCATTAATATAACTATGTTCTAACATTGCCAAATAGAGGTTAAACATTAGTCATGCCAACATGTATCTTGTGATAAGAAAAATAGCAAAATGTTCAAATAAATCCGTGAATTGTTCAAGAAAATTCAAATAAGTCAATATTCTTCTATTGTGTTTAATATTTAAGCTCTTATACTTTTACTTTGAGTCAAATAAATCTTTATAACTAATAGTTGACTAATTGAAATTAATCAAAATGTCACTTGTTATTTTATACTCGAGTGATGCTAACATAGCACTAATGTGGAATATGGAAATTGTCACATGGTCATATATATCATCATGCTATATTAGCGTGTTACATCATCATCTATATAACATGTCAGTATATCACATTAGCGCCATGTCAATATTAAGTAGCATTTTGACTAAGTCATCTATTAGTCATAAAACTGATGTGACTCAATATAAAAGTATAAACGCTTATTTGACTCAAAATGAAAAATATAAGAAGTTAATTGAACACAATAAAAAAATAATAGCTTGTTTAAATTTTTTTGAATATTTTAGGAGATTTTTTAAAATATTATGCCATAAGAAATCTATTTCAAACCACACTACTAATTATAGAATTGTGGTTTTTGTGATATTTGTTCTATGTAGTCATCAATTACTTCTCATATATTTTTGACTTATGTGGCTAGAGTTAGTTATGGTTTTCATTCTAATTCTAACCTATGTCACTAGGGTTAAATGTGTCCACAACATATTACAAGGACCACCAAAATTTATAATATTTGTGAAATTATATTTAATTTTGTTATTTAAAAATATAATTTTTAGAGAAAATGTGTTCATGAATGAAATTACAAAATTTTTTTGCTTTGATATCTCTATTATTGATTATGTTGACCTAAATGTTTTAAGTATACTTAATTGAAGGGATATCGATTACTTGCTAAGTATTTGTACTCATTCTTTTATTTTTCTTCATTTTTATATATTTCAATGTTTTTGCTTCTTTGAGAAATTAGATTTGTTTGGCAAGAGTTTTTGTTAGCAAGATTAGTGTTTGTCTTTTATCTTGTATACGCTTGGATGTGAATATTTGATTATAGTTGGTAAAAAATTGTTAACTAGATGAAAATTTTGCTTCTTTCAAATAATTATATATAAAAATTATATTTAGAGATTTAAAATTTTAAAAAATATAAATTTAGAAAAAATTCTTGAAATTACTTTTGAGTTAATATCATATTTATTATCTTACATGTTTATGGATTCTTCTCGTAAAAATGTGATATTATTTATGCCCTAAATCTTTAAATTTGGGAGGTGACACATTTGAAGTTCCATATTTGATCATTGCATTCTTTCATCATTTTGTACTTTCATTGCAATTTTACATTTCGATAAACCTATCATATATATTTCATATGAGTTTTAATGCCTGAGAATGTCAGTGGCACTTCCTGCATGGTACACCCTTTGTTTTTTTCTTATAAATTCAAGTTCAGGCCTGTATGGTGCCTTAAAATTCATATGCTGACAAGTAATTATTAATATCAATGAGTACAAGACTATTGCTAAACTCAAAAAAGATAATTTAGATAATCCACGTAATATAAGATAAAATCCAATTATTGCTTTCTAATTTACTTCCAATCCAAATCATAAACTGAAGACTAAATTGCACCTTGGATTACCTTGCCATCAACTCAGATAATACTAGATACTCTTATGGTTCCTAGCAAAGAAACCACACGTTCTGTTGCTCATAAACAGGTCCCCTTGTGATATATTATATAAATAAAACACCCTTACCCTTAAGATAACCAAGGATTTGTGATTGCTGGAACAATCGCATTATTATATGAAGTTGATAAGTTGCTGCACTAGCTGGAAAGACTGAAACTCAAACAATAGACTTACAGCCTTGAAACATACGCCTAAAAGTTTATGATCGCCTTTATCATAAGCATTGAATACTCAGAAACTAGCACTTAAAAACAGACTGCCAAAAATGTATTGTTTCCTCATTTTTTGTTGGTACAGACTATTGTTTCGACAAAATCAAGAAACTCGTTAACATTATTCCACACCCCTTCCCCCCTCCGATTTCCCAACCTGACACATGATTGAATATAAGTTAGGCAAATCTGCGGACGTACTGAACACTAATAAATCTACAAATCGATGTTCACAACATGATCGATTGTAAGCTGGTTTACACTTGCTCTTCAGCAGGCAACCACTTCCTTAACTCCTTGATAACCAAATCATTGTTATTCTCATATCCCATTACATTAATGTTGGTCCACACAAGGAGAGGAGAATATCTACACTATATAAAAGTTACTTAGACAGAGCAGTGGTCAGTCTTTACACCCTTAGCAGCGAAAGGAATAAGAGAAAGGAAAGCTTATATTTGAAGATAGCAGATTTAATTGTTTAAAGAATATAATTTGGCAGAAAAGTGAAAACATTACAAGAGTTTTACTAGATTTTCATAGATGATGAGCTATGCCACTTCAGACAAGTATAAAAATAAAAGGAAAAGAAAATTTAAACATCTTGAATTACAAGGATAAATTTAAAATCTAATTGCTTAAAAACATAAAAATCTGATTGACATGACTTGCTTGCAATAGATGCAAGTGCAATGTATAAAACATGAATATGTAGTTCGCGTGACTTGCTTGTGAGAGTCTGAAAAATAGTCTAACAATGGAAATAAGTGGACTAAAATATAGAACAAGCGACTGAAGCCGAAAATGTCAAAACGTCTACACTGCTTAAAATATTCAGGTTGCATAAAAAGAATACATATATATATATATATATATATACACACACACACACACACACACTTTCCATAACATTCCCTGCAAAGGCCTATTTTCTCCATTTCCTTGGGCCAAGAATCCAATCAGGCCAGGTGAAATCAAAAGGCAATTTGACCTTATAACACATAGCAGAAATTACATCCCGGAGCTCAGATGCTGCCTGTTCTCTGAAAGAGAAAATATAAGAAGCACCTGATGACAACAAGGTCTGCAAATATGCTGTATGTTTGTTGTGTCCTAAATTTACTTCTTTTTCAATTTTTTTTTTTTTTTTGGTAGAGAGTAGTGTAGAGTGACGAAGGCATTTTGGAACAAAATGCATATTATTGCATCACTAACCAAAATTCTATGGCCAAGTGCCAAGAGATTTTTATGATCTAGTAGTTCTGAAACTAGATACCCTGACCCCAAGCTTGATTTCCCTGTTTTAAAGTTACCAAGAAAATCCATATATAAGAGACTGGCATGAACCAGTTCAGAAAGCTGGCCTTAATTTGGTTAAAAGTCTGATAGGGTAAAGGGCATGACATTTTTATGGCTAGCATTACCATGACTGAGAACTTTTGAACAGATCCTAACTGCTAACCCATCTCAAATATCATTTACACTTTTAATGTCCCGTTAGGGAATCAAAAACACCTAATCAAAGTGAAAGTTGGTCACTAAAAGGTTTTAGGAAATGTTAAATTCCAGAGTCACCCATTTGTCAAAAATTTACGACAATGCAGCAACTTGGGCATAACCTTAATAAAAAGGGGGATCAAAGAAATATAATCCAATTTATAGAACAATTTAAAAACATCCAGATGTATTATAGAACAATAACTTCTACTTTTCACATATCAGGCACCTAGCCACCCACCTTTTCTATAAGAGATAATTTCAGCAAGACAGACATATTAACAACTAAAAACATTACCTTATACCTCCAGATTTAATCATGCTCCCCTGTTACTTTGGGGCCTCTTTGGCCATAATATTCTTCCATTTATCCTTAAGGTCAACTGGAATTCGAGTTGAATGGAAAACATGATGACCAAACTCCAAAATTTTCCTCCAGGGGATATTTTTATTCACTATACTTGAAAATCTACGCACTCCCTCCTGCAGTATAAAAATAGATGGCAATAAAGAAAAAAATTGATGGAACAGAGAAAATTAAATATTGAATTCCTGCTAACTTGTCCATCACATCAGAATTGTCAAAACACATGCATGCCTAGACACCATGGCTTAGCACAATCTAGCAAAAGCACCTATGAGTCTGGTGACTCCTGGCAAGGCACCTTTCTGGGGCATGTGCCTGTAAAGGCAAAAGGCATGCCTCATCTGTTCAAGTTATCTGGCAGTGATTCTTACCAATAGTTAGAAAATAGCATAGGGCAGGACAAGTAGAAACTTTTTGTTAGTCATCAACACTATTAAGGAAACTGTGTGTTTTATGTGAGTGCCTGAAGCTGACAACTTAAAAAATTATTAATTTAATAGGAATGTCCTGTTTAATAAGTTAGCATAGGATGTCAGTGGGAAACTTTTACAAAACACTATACACATCTATAGAAAAAATGATTGGTTCCCCAAGCAGTATATATGTTAACCAATGAAAGTATATGTTTCAAATATATTTAAATAAAGAAACAGATATGTAGCAAAAATAATGTTGAATCGATCCCAAAAGTTAAAGCATAGCATGTTAGCAAATACAAATTATAGAAAAAGGGCCGAGCATATCATCCCTAATCATACCTTCAGCACATCTTCCTCTTCAGCTGTCCAGTGTAATCGCCTACGCTTTTCAGTACCCAATTTTGAACTCACACTGCAACTTAGATGAAAAAATAAGGTAATTTTACTATAGTGGTAGTTAGTTAACAAAAAAACCAAGGCACTAACTATGATCTCGCAACAAACTATAACATGCTCAACATGGATTCTTTTAGCCAAAATGTAAAAACCTTAACAACTTACAATCGCTTGTTTAATTCTTGGCATTGCACAGAGTTTTTTGGTGCTGTAGCTTTTCCTTGTTGGTTCATCTTCTTATCCTTTGCACTAGTACTTGGTTCAGAGGATGGCATCTTTGGTGAAACAACTTTCTGAGGCCACACCTTCTGAGCTGTTCGTTTGGCACGCTTTTGATGCACTACGAGTGTCTCAGTATCCAAATCAGGTAATACAAACTCAAAACTTTCAATTGCAGGCACCCTGGATGTAGCATCACTGGTTATTAGTGCCATAGTAGTTCCAACTGCATTTGGGAGCACTGGCTCTTCCTTGTTCTCTTCTAATACACCTACATTGTCAGAAGTTTCTTTAGTTGATACATGAAGTGCACCTTTCTCTATTTCTAAATGGTTCAAACTAATTGGTTGTATTTGCCATCGATCCTCATCAATTTCGTCATCTTCACTATCAGAAGCATTTTCAATATCCTCGTCTTGTATCCTTTCTCCATCCCCAAAATTTTCAGACCCACAAGCTCTAGAGTTTCTTTCCTCATCAGATTTGCTTATGGACTCAACACCCGGTGTTTCCTCCTGATCATGATGTATTCTCTCATTATTTTTATCATTCAGCCCATTTTCATAATCACCAGTATTTATCTTCCCCGCCACTTTTGACACACTGGCAGCTTTCATGCTTTCTGTTTCATCTACCTGCATTTCCTCATTTCCACCATCCCTCTTCAAACATATAAAGTTTGACAATTCCTTCCTTGCCAACAAAGCTTGCCTTCTCAACTCTTTGGTCCTCGCTAGTTCTCGCTTGTACCAGCAGTAAGGGCAGTAAAATTTACCCATATTGTCAAATTTAGGATTACAATTCATGCACACCTCATGTACAGTAACTGGGCAGCCATTTTCACTGCAAACCAAAACATGACCAGTTCGGCTATTGCATCTAATACAAGACTCTTGTTCTAACCAATCTACAATGATACATTCTCTGCTAGGCCCCGCACCATGGTTTTCTCCTGCACATCTATCCACCTCTTCAACAGAATCAGGAACTACAACATCATCATGATCATCATCAACATCATCATTATTATCATTATCTTGGCTGGAACCAGTACCCTCCGACACTCCACAATCAGTACCATCTACACGATATTCTTCATTAGCTTCATCCTATGGCAAAAGTTTGTTAAACAAGAATAGCAGAAATAAGTCATACTACCCTGACATTTTGACAACATTTAGATTAATCTACATTTCCATGATACATAGAAAACGCTTCAATGCTTAAGGAGGTAAAGCATTTTTGACGTAATTTCAATTTATCGAGGCACAAACAGAGTACGTTCTACTAATTTTATCATTATCTTTAAATACGGCATGATTTTTAATTTTCAAGATTGTTCCTACTCCCTAGTCACATTTTATACAATTACGAAAGAAAAGTTCAAAAATTTAAGCTATTAAGTGCAAAAAGACAAAAAGGAAAATATTCTCTACAGTTTTTTTTCTTTTATGTCGTGGATTCCCGAGAAACAAACAGAAAGTGGAAAAAAGGAGAGGGAAAGGTACCTGACGGAGGAGAGGAAGGGACATGAGGGAGGGATTTGAAGGAGGTATCGAATTGCAAGGTCTGGACTTACAGCCTCGAGATTTCGTTCTCATTCTTTCTTTGAAAATATAAGCCTTCCCCTTCGGCTGTTTTTCTGTTTTTTTGCCGATTTACGAACAACTGGAAACTGGGGAGCGCCTGTTTGTTTTCTGTTCGTTTGAGAATTGAGAGGGAAGAAAACCTGCCTGCAGGCTGGGCCTACGGGCAATGAAAGCATTGGGATTTGCGATCCTGGGCTGCATTTATATCCTGCTTTGGCCCATGTTTAAATTTTAAAATGGGCCCCTATTTCTAATTAAGCCCAACTAAGCTTTTTGTTAGTATTGTTAAAGTTTTTTATTATTTATTTTTCATTCAATGGACACCGGATTTAATTTTTTTTTTAAGACTCTATATGTTATATATTGTGATTTCAGGTCTGTATCTCTGATGTTTTTGTGACCTGAAGAGGTATTTTGAAATGCAGGACATTATTGAACTTAGGTAAATAACAAATTATTAGTGATGGTAAAACTGTTAGTTTTTAAAATAATTAATGGATGGGTGATGGTCCTCTCATTCATTATTTTTTTAGTATTGTTGAAAATGAGTTGCTCTTTCGAAAAGTTGTTGAATTTATTGATAACGGCAAGGAAGGGCAACTTGATTCCATTTGGCATGAGTGTAATGGAGGTTTCTTAATTAGCTCCGCCTATAGACTGATACAAATTCAACGGATTGGAAACTTGTGAGTGGGTAATTTCAAGTGAATTTGACATCTAGACTATACAAAGAAGGTTCAATTTTTTATGTGAACTTTGTTTCATGATAAACTCAATATAAATGAAGAAAAAGATAGTGAAGGATGCAACTTCGTTTCCGATGTCTACATGGTGTTGAATCAGCTTTGCGCTTATTTAAAAACTATCTTTATGCAATAGAGGTTTGGAGTTATTGGTTACATTTTGATATTGATAAGGCAATTTTTTTTTTATTTAGAGATAAAGAATGGTTTTGAAGAAATTATTCTAAGAAAAATAGTTTTATTGATAATGTATTGTGGAGTGTGGAATTTATTATGACATTTTGAGAATTTTGGAAAAAGTAGGAATGCTTTGATTTTCCAGCAACTTGTTTTATGTCCTAGTAGAGTTGTGGAATAAGTCTAAAAAGCTAAAAAAAAAATAATAATATTTTTTACTATTTATCTTTAATTTTTTTTACAAAAAATAAAAAATTAATATCAACCATATGAAATCTAATTTATATTTCGATAGGCAAGCAACATGACGTTATTATCTCTTTTATTATTATTATTATTATATTTTTTTAAAAAATAATAGAATTTACTTTGAGTGTTTTGATCTGTAAGATTTTTTATTATAATTATCATGTTACGATTAAATGATTATACAAATTACCACTAGTTATCTTTTTATTATGACTGTCTCCTATCCTATAATTTATTTACTTACATACTTTTTTAAATATAGATATAAATTTATATGAATATAAAAATAAATGAATTTTTATAAAGATTACAAGTGTCATGATTAATAAATATATATATTCCACCATATGATTTTGTTATTATAAATGAATTGAAAACTTGACAAGTTATTTTGATTTAATGCATTTTGTAATTGTAATAAATAGGGCAATTAATTAATTAACAATTTTATTAGTACATTTTTTGGCCAAATTTTTTTAAAGCAGGACGACCAAAAAAAAAAAAAACATCCGGATGAGAAGAAAAACCAAAGGTAACGGGCGAATTGGGAAACCGCATATAAAATTGACTATTTGACTTTTGCATTTGCAAAGACGAAAAGACTCAAAAACGGCGCCTTTCTTTCCATTTTAATGTTACATTTGCAAAAATCGAATGGCCTTCCCCTGTTGGAACGGAGACGCAGAGCCTCTCTGTCTCTCTCTGAAAAATAGCCGTGAAAAGTTTACCGACAATGCCGCTTGATTCATTCCTCGTTTGAGTCGTTCTTTTTTTTGTTTCCCTTTCAATTTCAAACCCCATTTCTCTTCTGTCTTCCCTTTATTTTCCTTTTGCTCTGTCATTTTGGATGGTGAAGAAAACCAAACGCTTTGACTTTTTACAACTTATAAGTTTCTAAAGGTCGTTTCTTCGCTTTCCTTGAAGTTTCCATTATTTCAAGACAAAGACGAAAACTTGGAAAGAACAGTCCTCAACGGACAATCCATTTTCCTTTTTTTATTCCAAGTGTTCAGGGAAGAATCAATGTTTTTGTGTGGAACATGAATTACCTGTTTGGACATGGGAATTTCACTGTTTTCTTTGTCTGAAACTGAAACTACTCCATGGATGACACGGAAACCAACCATCACATCAACAAAAGCATTGACCTCGGCGACAACCCACCCTTTGTTCGGATTCACTCCCATGCTGAGGTTCTTTCTTTCTTTCTTTCTTTAATTTCTTTGGATGCAAGTTTTTGTGTGTTTTTCTGTTTTTGTTTTGTTGAATGGTGATTTTTGAGAGAAGCAAGGGTATTTGTTGAATAGATTCTATCCTTGGAGGAAAGAGCAGTGCTGCAACTTGAAGATGAAAAACTGGCAAGTGCTGACTCAATAACAACAAAGAAGCATTTCTTTAAAGAGACAACACATTGCAGCGATATAATTGACGTGAAGTGCAACAACAATGTGTGGAATAGCATCAGGATTGTTGTCTTCTCTACCAAACTTAATATTCTTATGATTTTTGGCCCTGCAGCCATCTTTGTCGAAAAAGCTTCTGGTTATCATGTGAGTTTTCTCCTCATTTCATTCTCTGCCATTATTTCCCATATCATAGATATACTGATTGCATGATCATTTTATTTTTTAATACAAATATAAACAATAGTTTTGAAGATTTTAAATTTTTATATGTGTCTGCTTTACTTTTATATGCATGATAATTATGTTAAAATTGATGTCACATTTTAATCAATTATGATTTTGCTTTCTATAATTGGTTTTGCTTTATAGCAACATCTAGGAAACATAAGCAAATTGGGAAAGAAATTAGTAACAACCAAGCGTAGCCTTATTTTTTCAAGTGTGTTTCAGGGTCTAGTTTTTCCTTTGAGCTTGTTGGGGATCATACCACTGGCCGAGCGGCTTGGCTATGCTACAGAGTAAGCTTCACTGCTCTCTCATTTGTATCATTTTTTTTTTGTTCACATGTAAAGTTCTGTGATTTCTTGACTTGTTTGATTCTAGAAAACATCTCTGTCGGTAATGGATATTCCAAACACTGCTGCTTCAGCAAATGAATTGAACCCTATAGTATTTGTCTAAAAGTGTCAAAAGGTTCATTTACTGATTTTTTATGAGGAGGAGAAATTAGTTTTGCTCCTTGGACCATTTGTTGAATTGTGGCATGCACCTCCTTCTAAAATGCACTTCGTTTATGCTGCAATTATGTGGATTGATCAGTGCCTAATACAGATGGGTTATTTTTTATGTAGGCAGCTGGCTTGTTTCACTGGACCCACAGGTGATTTTTTTTTTTTTAATTTGAATGTAGTTTCCCTCTTTTCCATTCTTTAGAAGTAACCATTCAAATATATACAGCATCAAAGTTTTGGTTTATATCAATATGCCAGATTTCATTAGTGAGAACCTATGGCCTCTACATTTTAAGCTTTAAGGGTTGATAGTGAACAAGTATAGAGGATAACAATTTCAAAATGATTGGAAATCATTCATGAATTCAGTCACTTTTTGCAGTTATGAAAAACTGATTGAAATCCAATGACTATGTGAAACTTTTCTTAAACAACCTTCCTATCAAATGCAATTTTGCATTTTCAGTGAAGCATGAATTAGAAAGTATGGTCATCTGCCTCATTATAGGGATAACTGAAATATCCAAAACCTAACAGATGTCACATATTAACCTGAATTTCTTCTACGACTAACTAATTTGCATTGCAATAACTTCTTGTACTTTGAACTGAGCTTTGCAGTTGGTGGGCTTTTAAATGCTACTTTTGGAAATGCAACTGAGTTGATCATATCAATTTTTGCGCTGAGAAATGGCATGATTCGTGTTGTTCAACAGTCACTACTGGGCTCAATTTTGTCCAACATGTTGCTAGTGCTTGGTTGTGCGTTTTTCAGTGGAGGACTTGTCATTATGAAGAGGGAACAAGTGTTCAATAAGGTATGTTGACTCTGCTTAACGCAGTTAAATTTTAGATCAAGAAATAAAGCGCTTACTTACTTTTTTGTTATTTGTTGTACTTTTTTAATTTGTTTGGGAAAGGATTGAATAATGCTAATGTTCCTAATAGGCAACTGCTGGAGTGAACTCTGGGTTGTTGTTGATGTCAGTCATGGGACTGTTATTTCCTGCTGTTTTGCACTCTACACGTACAGAACTGCATTTTGGGAAGTCTGAGTTGGCTCTTTCAAGGTTCAGCAGCTGTGTCATGCTTTTTGCATATGCTGCCTATCTCTACTTTCAGTTGAAGAGCCAGAAGAAACTATATGATATAGTCAAGGACAATGAGGTTGGTCTTGATTAGAGTTGTTACTTATGTGCTGTTATCTTGGCTCTAAGACATGATTTACTGAACTTGATCCCAGTAAGCATTGATCCTTTAATAGCTTTGGCTAATTGAATTTGCCTCTGTAACAGAGGAAAATTTTTTGGAAAGCATAAATGGTCTTGAATCCTTATTTTAGTTTTTCTTGATCTTCTTGGATCTTTCATTTATAGCATATCTGATAGATGTCATGATCTTCAGGGAGAGAGTGAGACTGAAATTTCCGATGATGATGAAGCTCCTGAGATCTCCATGTGGGAAGCAATAGTATGGCTATCTATTCTGACTGTGTGGATTGCAGTACTCTCAGAATATTTGGTTGATGCCATAGAGGTAATTTATCTTCCAGTTACCATATCAAGTCCTGTATTGCATGATTAGTGACTTGGTATGACTTTGACAATGACCAAGGTTTTTATGAGGAAAGTTTGTGGTTTCTTCTTTAGATGAAAGCTCTGTCCTTTCTGCCTTGACCAATCTGGCTAACATTGAACTTGGTAAAATGAAATGGTTGAATAATTGAAAAATGAGATTATTCAGGAATATGCATTGAATTTCTGATAGTAGATTTATAATTAAAAAAGTGTTTGTGATTATTCCAGAAGAAATGAAACAAAAGATAGGGTAGAGTTAGG